ACTATGATGGCCACAAGCTCAGCTTCGAAGATGACGGTCTTTTTTCCAGGGTACCCCAAGGCCGCCAGCTCGGCAGCAGCTAATCCTAACGAAAAGGATGAGACCTCATTACCCTCATCATCATACAACACACCACCTATGCCGCATGGCCATTCACTGTCATTCGGCTGGAAGGAGGCATCTGTAAAGATGAACCACTGGCGACCAGACTCTTTACCTATTCGTCTGGGCTTGGGATCCTCGAGGTTAATTAAGAAGTGTTTAAGGGCAGTTATTGTCTGCGGCTTCAGGACCCAGTCATTATCCCCATGGGCGTGAGCTGAGACCGCACTCAAACACCCTCGATACCGCCCAGCCTAAAAGGTCGAAAAATTTTCGGATGATTCCTTCTAGCACCTCAGCCTCACCCTTCCGAGCGATTGTCACGAAGTCGTCAAAGAAGGATGTCCAACACAAGTGCAGGGCCTTGCATCCAAGGTACCAAATAGAATGAGCGACACGGAGAAACCCATAAACACTACTAGTAGCCCCAAACGGCAGGGCCAACATCTGAAAGATTTCGGGCTTCCTGCTGTGCGGGTTAAAGCACACCACATATGCTGCCCAAAGACTCTCCTCGGCGACGGCGAGCTGCCTGTAGGCTGCTGACAAGTCAACCGTTTTTCCAACCCAAGCAAAGCCCCGTCCCTTGCACACCACTTGCAAGAGCATGGCAGCTACAACGTCCAAGGTGTGAAGGGACGGTGTCGTTTCAGCCTGAGTGGTCAAGTTAACACAGCTACCACTGAAGTCATCGATCAACCTGACCTTTGGACCTTGCTTCAACCCGAACCTCCGGCTGACCACCGCGTGCTGTGGCAACGTGTCCAGGCGATACGGGCCTCTCAGCCACCCTGAAGTTCTCTCCTCGCACGTTTTGCGATACACCTCAAAGTCAAAGTCATCACCACTTCCTTTTACGCTATGCACCACTGCTTCCCTAGCCGCCTTTGCCCCAATCTTCAACTCACCTTCTGTGAGGGATGCTGGCTTGAAAACACGCTCGAACATGGGCACGGGGGGAATGGGCCCCGTCAGCTTAGTTCCACTGCAAAGTTCATCAACCACACCAAGATCAGGGTAATCATACTTAACAAGCAGGGCTTTCCACAGGGCGATCCTCTTTGGGGCAAGGATTTGTTGAGCATGTGGGGACATTTTACTGTGGATATCTCTATCTTCAGCTAGAAGCGACCGGGCTAGAACTACCCACTCCTTAAGGACCTTTAGCCTATCTGCATTCAAGCTTTTTGATGAGCACCTGACCGTTTTTTCAACTGCCTCTGCAAGCACCGTCGGAAGGAAGTTCTGGAGCCTCGTTGGGTGACCCTTCACTACTGCCTCACTTACGAAAGCTTCCGGGCTACGAAAAATTCCAAAAGCAAAGGAAGAATCACTAGACTCCGAATTACCCCCATTTAACCGAACTGGCTGGTGTTTGAGTAGTTTGGCTCCGGCTGGGATGCCATGCCAAGGCTCAGTCAAAGTTGCACCAGGCTCGATCGGCGGCTTGTCTGCCGTGTGCGGCACGTGGCGAACCTCCGAAAACTCAGACAAGACCGGTGCCAACTTCGAAGCTCTCGGCTGAAGTCCGACCACTGCGCGAAGGTAGGCGTATTGGACCCGACTAGGTGGCGTCAAGGCCCCTGCCGGTGGTTGCCAACCCCTTGCGACAGCCTCCTGTGCAAAGGCATGTGCAATCTCATACGCCAGCTGCAAGGGGTACGCTGTCTCCTTGCTAGCGGCGAAGCCTGAAGCGGTAAGACCCCAGGATTCATGGCGATGCCTTTTTGAGATACCTGGACAACACTTATTGGTTTTATTAAAGGCTGAGCAATTGTGTGCAAGGACGGTCCACTTGGGACGTGTGGATCCGTATGCACAGGCCTGATGCGCTGTAAACATGAGCTTGTCTGCCAATGGCTGGAAGAACGAAGTCAGCCAGTAAAAGCTTCTCCGAGGATTCTCTATGACCACAACAAGTTCACGTCGAATGCATTCATTTGCAACCTCAGTTATAAAATGATACAGCCTATTTGCTGAAGAGACTCTGCACCTATCTGTCCACCTAAGATTAACTAGCCCGTCTGGATGGAGTTCGTCTCGGAGTGGTTTTGGACCTGGGACGAAACGACCTGGACTTATCTTAAGAGGGATGGACCGAGCTCTACTGCTAGTTCCGCACGGGGGTGCTGCAAACACTCCCATACAGGAACTCGACTGCAACCACTGCATAACTAGTGCTTTGCCCGCCTTCTTGGTCAAGTCAGCCAACATGATGCGACCACAATTGCGGCCTCTTATGTGATCTACACCAAATGAGTCAACCAAACCTATAGCTCTAGCGCAACTCGTCACCCTAGCTGATCCTGCACAAAGTTCGATGATGAAAGGCTTCTCTGGAAAACTATTTGATCGATGCGGCTCAAGCAAAACTGGAGTCCTATGCGGCTCAAGCAAAACAGGAGAACTGGTTTCGTTTGTTTGCGTCTTGCAATTGGGACCTAAAGCACTGGGATCCAATCGGAGTTCAGTGCCCTGTCCATGACTAATCTTGGCTCTTTCGAACGGCTTGAATTCTCTAAAGCCTCAACAGGGCTTTCCTCCACTGATCTTTTACCTAGTCAGGCTGAGTCGTGATCCTTGAGGGAGTGCGGGCCATAGCACTTGGCGCACACATGCAATCCCTTCTGACACTCTGCACCATCCGCTCCAAGAGAGCACTTTCCTAAGCTGAAGTCAAAGCAGACGCGTTTTCCGGCTGGTGTTGTGGCCGTGCCCTCAAGTTCACGAATCTGAGCGGGAATCCGGGGTTCCCATTTCGACTTGCCTTTCCCCTTCTGATACGGACTGAACCAATGGCCTTTCGGACGATGTTGCCACTTTCCCTTGCTACCTCCTTTCTGGTCGTGGCTCTTACCTCCACCAGGCTTGTCATGACTCGAAGCACGATCTTTGGGTTCCGGCTTGAACTTCAATGGCAATGGGATCAAAGAGAACGAAACTTCATACGAAGTGAGAGCTGCCATCAACTGCTGGTCTAATGGTCTCGTCCCAGTGGCATCTCTCTTTGGCTTTACGTTCAACTCAATCAACCTCCTCCATGCCTCCTTGTCTGCGTTCACCAATTGGGAGACTGTGCACCGTTGGTAACCAGGAGGCGGCTCTCGGTGCAGATGATCGAGCAAAGAGTGCTTGCACATATTTGTCATGCTCCAAAAATCCCATGCAATCACCAAACTCCAAAGCGATGCCCCTACGCTTCAAGGCCTCTAAGACCTGCAAAGAAGTGTGAGCCGGCGCCTCAATCTTCTCGTCCTTGTCTTTGATGATGATCTTGTTCGCTTCGATGTCAAGCATACGGTCAGGGGCCTTCAAGTTCGTGAGTTCATGAACCCTTGACACACAACGCTCAGGAGGCAAGTACTTCAATTGATTCTTATCAACCATACTCATCACGGAGTCTAACAATGTGTGCCCGGGCTCATCTGACCGCTGATCAAGACTCCTGCCAAGCGCTGCTGCAACAAGTTCATGCGCGACTCTCTCTCTCTGCTTGTGGGATCTTTCGTGCGGTCGTCTCCGGCGCCGTAACCTGATCTCGTAGGATAGCAAGAAGTTGAGTCTGACTCTCAAAGACCAATCTTCTCAAATTTGCCACGCCTCCCAAAGAAGCCCTTGGCTCAAGTGTCCGGGCCCATGTAGCAAAGGCTTCATGATCAATTGCCTGGCCAGGATGCCCGAAGCTATATGCCAAGGTCGCCAAGGACGTGATGCCATTTCCTTTCAATGCATCACGGAGGTTATCAGGAATTTTGCATTCAGCGATTCTGAGGTCAAACTGAGCTTCGCTATCGAGGAGAAGAGCCATCAAAATCACAGTCCTATGGGAAAAGTCAGAGCACTAGTCCTGGAAAGAATTCAACTGACAGTGAAGCAATGAAGAGTTTGCTTCCCAACTATTGTTTTTATTCACGTTTGTGGAGGCATAAACAATTCGATGGCCACTGAGCCTGGGCCATTGAATTCTTAGGACTGTTGCCGTCAGGTTTTCGGAAGAAGTTCATGGGTTCATGTGAGGGACTAGTTCTAGTCATAATCATGACGTGAACACCACTACACACACACACACACACATCTCTTGAGCCTCAGCACGCATGGCCGACTCTCTAGGAAATTTGGGAGTCGCATGCCCCTATAGTCAACTCTCTCACTGCTACACCGCAAGCCTACACCGGCTTAATCTCATCACAACACAGCTTCACTGCACTGCCACGCATGGGCGACCTCTTTTTAACGCCTCCACATCGGTTCATAAGGCCTGCATAGGCCGGTCATGAAGGCTTCCTCTTCAAGCACATTTTGCACATCACGTTCCAAGCAGTTGCTTCGGTGGGCAAAGAATATGCCTCTGTCAATCGTTTCCCGCGTGCCAAGTAACGATAGGTGAAGCCATCTGCATTCTCAGTGAAGAGGTGGAGGATATGAGATTTCCTGTGGGCATACCATGTCTCGTCCCGCGGCACCTTCGGTCGGAACCTCTTCACCTTCATGGGTGGCTCCTCGCAACACGAGGAATCTGGTGAAGAACATGCGTCACTGGATGAACTCTCTGAGCTGGAGTCATCATCAATGACTATTAGCTCAGGCTCCCCACAACCCTCGTCGCAACCTCCGTCTGACTCAACAGTCTCCGCCTTAGTGTTCAAGCGACCCTCAAGCACAGGCACAACGGGACCTCCGCTCTCTGGCTCCAGCACCGGATCCCTCCTGGTGAAATAGGCGCTGCGGGGAGCATCCGGATTGAAGTTCCCTTTGAAGATCTCGTCAATGACTTCCTGCAATTCGCGGGTCGGGGCCACACACAAATCCCTAGAGTAAAAGGCGTATGTGCCAGTTGTGGCACTAGCATGCCTTCCAAGGATTGATCGAGTCTGCTCTGATAGACCATACTTTGCAGCCCACGACAACAAAGTTGCTTTGGCCGAATGCGAAGACACGACAGGCATCGAATCGGCCGGCTGAACTGCGGTCGCGCCTATAAGCATTCTCAAGAACGTGGATGCTTCACTCGACGTCATCGGACGCTTGCAAAAGGTCTCATGTCCCAAACATGGTGCAGGAAACAGTGGCCCTTCAATCCTACCATCAAGTGAAAGCTCCAAGTTCGAAAAGACTTCGGTTGCTGCCCCCATCCAACTGGTCCCATTCACACCCCGAGCAGGAATGAGGATTGGCATCAATTGAGTTCGTCTCTCAGCTGACTTCCCTGTCTTATGATGTGCCAACTTGATTTCGAGAAACCCGCCTTCTTCACCAAAGTCGGGAATGACCGAGTGCACTTTCGTCAAATCGCTATGGCGGCATCGACCATACAGTGCCATCAAGAAATATATGGCGGCTCCACGATCAACCAAGTTTGCATTCGAATCACTTGCAATTTCATGCAACTTACGAACTTGCAAAACGGTCAAAGGAAGTGCTTGCTTCAAGACTCTTTTGTTTGCATGCAACTGATCACTGAGGCCAACCACACGCCTACTCTTAGTGACTTCGCTGAGTGATTCAAACCCTAAGACATGAAGTGCAAACCTAAAGGCTGACATGCACGACGATGCACGAGTTGCGGGCGCTCCCAACTCTTTCAAGTCCTGGAAGTAACGCCGCACAATTTCCTCAGTGAATGGATTTGCCTCCGTGATTTTTGACTTTGCACACCACCTGAGAAAGGAAAGCAACGAGTTTGCTCTCTTCACGATCGTGTAAGGAGATCTGAGGCCTACGACGGCATCAACAATTTCCTTAGCACCTTCAAGTTGCCGGTCTTCCGAACCCAGTGAAATGATCTGTCTACCAACTACACTGGCCAACAAGCAGTGACGAAGAACAATCAAGACTTTGTTAACTGCGGCATCCATGAGTGCATCACGCTGCTCATCGTACGTCTTATCATCAAGATTACGAATGGCGGCCACAAAAATAACAGTCCTTTCACAAGTGCTTGTTTGTGTGAGCGTGTCATCAACTACGGCCTCCACTGCATGGTCCAAGGGCAAACTCATCCACTCTGAGACACTGACCGATGGAACGATTGGATTCGATTTGAACGGATCACCAAAGATCTGCTGTGCAACTTCCGTTTCCCAAGGCATCCTTATGTCACAAAATTTAGTACTTGACACAAAAGCGTTATCGAAAAAAGCACGATTCGAACTGGTCGGCAGTCAGAGCTGGCCTCTCGGCCCGGAGAATCTTCCCTCGTGAGAAGTGGTTCCTGGGGGTCCAAACCAAACTCGAAATCCTGGTCCGCCCATGGATGACTATGCAGTGCTTCGCAGTGGCTCCTGCTACTTTGACCGCAGTTTCGGCATTCGCTTGCTTCCCAGTGAGATGAAAGTAGTTCTGCAAGTTCGTGGCACTATCACGAGTGGTGGTGAGGGCTAGGATAGCCTCGCTGCCTGCCTCCGCGCGCTCAAGTTCGTCTTCCAGTAGCAGAGTAGGATTATTTTGCGGATCATGTTGTGCTTCAGCACTCTGCGAGGCATGGCACCAGTGGACAAACCGGAGTCCTGTAGCTACCTGTTGATCAGCACGAATGGAGGCCGTGCCAATTTGCCATGTATCACCTAGCCGGCTGCACAGCATTGGGTACTGAATACCAATGAGCGGTTCATATACCTCCTGGGCAACCCGCGCACTGGTCGGCAGCATGAGACTCCAGCGGTGTTGTCCAGCAACCCCCGATCGCTCAGCTGCGCTTTGCGCTAGGTGGAAGTCCAGGGGACTGTCAGGGTTGGTAAGGCCAATCAAAAGCTTTTCAGGCAGCTCCAAGTCTACTTTCGATAAGTCACTATAGGTCGCTTGCAGCGCGCTGGCGAAGGAGGACGTAGCTACCACACCTTCTGGTCGAAACCAGGTGCGCCCCAGCGGCACTTGACTGACAGTGTCTGCAGCCCGCTCGATGTCGTCTTGGCTGAAACCTCGGCAGTGATGGAGTAGCGTGTTAAACACTCCGGGAACCTCATGAGGCATGTACCAGGCATGAGGGGCTCGCAGCCCTATCGGAGCTTTGAGAAGGAGCGTTCTATGAGCTCTCAGGTCCTCTGCCACTCCGCCTGGGCTTTGCTTGGGGTCTCCTAACATGGCCCGGAAGAAGGGTTGCCGGGGGACTGCCGGGGCAAATGCCGACTTCAGATCCATGTCTTGTTGGGCCTCCTCGCTGATCAGGAAGTCTACATTCTCCATGTGTGTGTTGAGTGTCGAATGGCTTTGTCCTT